TTGGTGTGTGCTTCTGCTGTTTGAGTGTCAGCTTTCAGAAACTGACGAGTGAAGAGTTTGAGAGTATTTGGAGGAAGTGAGGCGTGTTGTTGGTGTTGTGACGATCTTCTGTGAGATCTGGGCCTGAAAGACTTCGTAATAAAACAGACGGATGATGGTTTGCTCGATCTAAAGGTGCAGTGACAGTGAGATGAAGGACTAGTGATTAGTGATTATTAGTGATTAGAAACGCAGTAATATGTGGCCCGCGGCTGAAGAGTTCAAGTCTGATACCTTCCCATACGGCACAAAAACAATTCTGCCAAAATATATTTGAATTATATGCTAAATCTATGTTGTAAACAATGAAGCTCAATTCAAAATATTTTTGAAATAGAAAATATATTTAGTTTCAACCTTCATGTGTCAAAATACATTTAAAAATGTAATTCAGGGGGAAACACTTTTCCAGTCTTACAGTAGCCTACATTTACATCAGCCTAGTGGAGAGAAAAAACTAATTAGTTTGATAATGCTTTAATATAATGCTTGATTTTTTCAAATGTTGGAATATTGTAATATTTTTTAAAGTACGTGACGTATGCATTTTTTAAAGTACGATTTTTTTTATTCAAATGTGTTATATGTTCATGTGTGTTATAGACAAATAATTTTTTTCTTCAGATGTGATGAGTGTATTTTCTTGGATTGACATGTATGGAGGGCAAAATACAGATAAAAAAAAAAAAGCTTAAAAAAAAATATATAATTTTGAAATATGATTTCAAAAATGTCCAAAAAATATATTGTTAGATATAAATTTACATTAATATATTTTGGGTCATTTTTTTGTATATTTTGAGATATTTAAAAATATATTTGAAAATAGAATTTTGCTGTATCGGTTTGATTATCATGTTTGTCCTGAGAAATTAAAATGGAAATAACGATGTTAAAGGTTTTCTGACTCTTGCTGCTGATGTACTTTATAAAGCAGCTCTGACTGCTCTCTGATTGGATGAGATGCCTTCAGGAAAAAAAACTACTGTCAGAAAAAGATGATTCAACCATTTCAACTAATACAGAATATAGTGTTGATGAAGATATGACAAGAAAAAAAATGGGCAAAGTATAAAAATATAGAATGAACTAATTCAAATGATCCAGATGTTTTGCACATCAAAAAAAAAAAAAAATAACCTGAATGTTGACTAGAATGAATGAATTACAGATAACAAAGTACTGACTTGTGTGTGTGAGAGTGAGAGAGTGTGTGTGTGTAAGAGAAAGTGTGTGTGTGTGAGAGAGAGTGTGTGTGTGTGTGAGTGAGTGTGTGTGTGTGTGTGTGTGTGAGTGAGAG